AACTCAACCTGACACCTAACGTTACGAGAAGTGGGTTTTGCTGTTGTTGTTTTTCTGTTTTTCACTTGTCTCATAAATATTGGATTTTTTTCTGAATATGAAGATAAATAGGGTTGGCAGGAGGGGGAAGTGTCTGGGCTGGAAAACTTCGCTCGTGCGTGGGCTGCTTGGTTGTTGGTGCCGATACCAGAGTTCAGGCTGGCTCCTTCTGAGCCTCGCCCGGCGAGGCGGTTGCTTGGGAGCATTAAGAAAACACCCAGCTTCTCTGGGGGTGGTGGTGGGCTTACACAGAGTGCATCTGCTGGAAAGAAATCGGGGAATTTTCAACATCGATTTATTAAGCAGGCTTTCTGAGGCGTCCCGAACGTGCTGCAGCGCGTGCGGTCCGGTCAGCGGCGTTAGGCACGCAGAAGCCCGTGGGAACGCAGCAGGCTTGGAAAGCGGGCCGGAGGAGCGCGGCGAGACTGCTGGCTCTCCGCAGCCAGGCCGACACCGGTGATTACGTTAATCAGTACTATTTGTCATCTGCTTTGAGCTGCGAAACGAAGCCTTCAATCTGTGTCCTAATGACTGGGTTCTGTCTAGCTATCAACTAGACGGAGTGCGGGGAAAATGAGGGTGCTACAGGGAAAATGAGGGTGCTGCGGGGAAAATGAGGGTGCTTGGGTGGGCAGGAGGCCTGGTTTGGCTCCCAGCTGTGGTGCTGCCGTGCCGGTTGATGTCAGGCACGTCTTTTTTTCCTGTACCTGCTCCGTCCTCCTGTCTGCCCTCTCCAAGATTACGTGTGCTTAGTGAGGGCGTAGTCACGCTCGTGTTTGTAGCTGGAGGGACGTATTAATGCACCTCAGCCTTAAGGGCCGTAATTAGCAGCCAGGTTGTACTGGTCTGGGTCCCGTCATCCTACGTGTCGTACAGCGTGTGGATGGGGCCTTTGGTAAACAGAATACGGAGAACAGGAGGGAGCGTGTGTCTGAGCAGCAGGTACGGGTTGGGTAGGGCCGGGGCGATGCAGACGGGTATTGCTGCTGGGCGCTGGGTGCATCAGCAGTGCTCAAGCAGTGGTTTCTTCATTTGCACCACGTCCTATATTTTGTGACCATGTAATTTGAAGTTTTAGCTCTGCAGTTGTTTTTCTTCCTTCGACTGTTTTTCCGGGTTTCACACTGGACTTTTCTGCCTGTGGATTCTTGTTTTCTGTGTGAAGTTCCTTTGCAGGGGAGAATTTTTCAGAGCTTTCCTAGTGTAATAGGGACAAGCTTGTCTTCATTCTTCAGTAAATTACTGCTGCTCTTGGAAAGTGGTATTTGTAAAGCTGCGGTGTGACATTTTAGTGTGGAAAGGGAGGCGGGGGGGGACAAACTGGCAGAAGTCTGTTTCACCTTTAATATGAAATTGTATAGGTGATGCTCTTGCATGCAGAGAGCAGCAGTCCTTGCATAAACACTGGATATATTAACATTTCTAACTAGTAAATTTATGGATAATCTCTTCTTTTGGAGGATTTGTTCTGATTTGAGAGCATTAGTCTCTGGGAAAATTAAACCTCTTTTAAATCCACTTTGTTCAGACTCTAGACTAGGAACTGCTGGTAAGCCCTGCTATCGTCCTCCAGCTTTTCTGTGGGCTTGATTGGAAATGCCGTGGAGAGAGACGCGACAGGTCCAGAGGCATCTGGGGTTTGGCTTTAGGTGCTTTATCCAGTTGTGTCAAAATGGATTAGAAAACTGTTTGCTCTGTGCCTGTAATGAGTGCGTGCGGCTTTGAGCACTACTAAAAAGGAAAAAGCAAGCCCCTAAACCAACCAGCCCAAAAGGTAAGAAAGATTAAATGTTCTTGGGAGCTGTGAAATGTCTTGATAAAGCTGCTCATCTACACGGTGCTGCAGTTTTGGGGTGCTGGGGGGGGCTGCCTTTGGTGACCAAAACGTCAGTCTGCTTGTCGGCGCTGGGCACTTCCTTGACTGCCGAGGCGTACCTTCGTTTCAGGTCGCTGATTCATGGCTCTGTGTATTTAATCACAGTTTCTATAGCACTGAGATCTTTAACGAGAGGGTGGAGTTCACTTTCAGTTCGTTGCAGGTTTTTCGTGAATATTATGGCCGATTCGTTAATGTGTTCTGCTGATCAGAGTCGTTTTTATAGGGGACTGATGTTGAAGGGTGTTCTGCGTTTGTGGTGTGCGTAACGAGTACGGGAGCAGCTCTAGCTTTTTCAGTAAGTGGCACGAGCATTTCTTTAGGTTGGTTTGTACCGTGCTGTGTGGCCGCGTTGCTGAGTAAACCTGAAGGATTCCTTATGCTGGTGTGAGATGTTTAGCTTAGTCCCTTGTGATTATCGGAGAAGATAGTGGAGCTACCTGATCGTATACGGGTGGGTGATGATGATGTCGTCCTGCACTCTCCACGAATCGTTCCCTTGGGGTTTGACATTATCTGTTGGCTCATAAGTTACTGGAACACTCTTTGCAACGGCAGTTTAATCCTGTCTTACTGAAAGCGCAGATTCTTGGCTATTTCCAAGGTGACTTTGCTGCAGGAAGCTATTCGAGCCTTCATTCTCAGTGCCAGTAGCAAGGGTTTTGATTTGCATAATCAAGATAATGCGGTGGATAGTGTTTCTTTGTGCATTTCAAGCCACATGTCTTGCTCTCATGTCCTATGAAAACATGGTGCATTCTCGAACTGAGAGCCCAGCACTGATCCTGGAGAAGTGCGTTAGCTGGCCGTGTCCTCGGCGGGCAGCACCTCTGGGCTGGCTGCTGATGGGCTGGGCTTCAGCAAAGCCTCGTCTGCGGCTGGCGTTGGTGGTTGCTCTCGGGAAGGCATGACGGCTCGTGCTGTCGTTCGCCTGCACCCATCATCCGCTCTGTTCGTCCTTGCACCCCTTTCGAGCATGAACGCTTTAAAAATAAATAAAGCTTTGTTGTCCAAAATTCTGCTGCTGATATGGCATGTGACTCGCTTGTGACAGCGAGGGCGGTTGGTGCAGGAGTCTGTTGGGAATGGATTTGTATCTGCGGTAAACAGGAGGAGGAGGTGTCCATTGCCAACTGTCTGTCAGGGAGGTGCTGGTTAAAACCCATTGCACGTAACTTGCTGTGTGCTGGGTTCACCAGCAGCTGCCTGGCTTTTGCTCGTGTCCCCAAGATGAATCGTGTTTGGGGTTAAGCTGCCATTCAAAAACGGCCGATAAAGGACTTGGGAATGTGGTGCACGAGGAGCTGGGGGGCACATGTCGGCGTGTGGCTGGGCTCCATGGGTGATGGTAGCGTCTTGCCCTCCGTGGTGGTCAGCTCCTGTGTTACTGTGGGTGTCCCTTCCATGCCTGTCCCTTGCAGTCGGAGATCAGAGAAGCTTTGCCTCTTGCACAGAGACTTTACAGGTGAAGGTCCTGAATTATTTGCCCTTTCCGTTGCAGCATTGGAGGCAGGAACAAGTTTGGTCCTTGCTTTCTGACTGTAGTAGCTGGGACATGAGATCTTCTAAACCTGCGGTTGTGGAGCTTGCTCACAGTTGCAGCCTTGAGTGCAAATTCAGCGTCCCCGCAGGCTGTCTCCAAAAAGAATTACTTGCTAGAGCTGTGTTTCTGACGGCAGACACTAACCGAGCTGAGCTGCCTTGCCATTGCTGTTGGACTGTGTTTGAAGTAGCCATTGTGGGATGAAATGTTTGCTGTCTTCTAGCAGAGTGCTTGTCAAGTAGTTTCATTCAGTGCCCTCGGCATCTTAACAGATGGGATAGATTTTTGTGAGCCTGGGCAACCACAGCAATTGTTTTGCAAGGTGAGACATTTCTGTTTTGAAGGGCAGGAGAAATAGCAACGCTGTGTGATTCAGAAGAATAATGAGTCTTTGGGTTTGGAGCTGTTAACTTTTTTTTTTAAAGGATATTAGCATTTGTCTTCAAAGAAATCTGAGTTGAGAGCCAGAAGTTGACAGAAACAGTTCCTGAGTGGTGCTGATAGGCTGGGTCTTGTGGAAAGAGCTGTTGGCACGCTTGAGGAGACTGGGAGAACTGGTGCTTAGGCAACGTGAGCCACGCAGCACCGTGCTCGGGGTGCGGAGAAGGGAGGGTGGCACCGAGGGCAGCGCTGCGTGGGTGAATCACGGAATAGTTTGGGTTGGAAGGGACCTTTAGAGGCCATCCAGCCCAACCCCCAGGCCGTGAGCAGGGACATCTTGAGCTGGATCAGGTTGCTCAGAGCCCCGTTCAACCTGCCCCTGAATGTCTCCGGGGATGGGGCATCTCCCACCTCTCTGGGCAACACGTGCCAGTGCTTCACCACCTTCTTGTAAAAAATTTCTTGCTTATATCCAGTCTGAATCTCCCCTCTTTTAGTTTAAAACCATTACCCCACGTCCTATCTCATGGGGTTTGATAGGAGTGAGGGCTCTGCCTGCATGCGGGTCGCTGCTGTGCCGGCCGCAGCTTCGTCAGGACCTGGGAGCTACGGCGTGGCATAGCTTCAGGTCTGCTGGGGAAATGATTAACCTCGCTGCTTATCCAGCCCTGTTAATGGCCAGTTTCGAATGGAAGCGTGCTCCGGATGGCCGGGTTTGCTTAACAGCACATGGGGACCGCGAGCAGGGGAGGAGGGAAGGAGAATTCGGTCTCTGGTGCTTGCTGTGTTTGGTGTGCGTTGCAGAGCACCACAGGAACGGCTGCTCGCGGTGATTTTGGGTCTCGGCGAAGGCAGCAGCAGGTATCGGAGTAATCGGCAGTCTGGTGGCCTGCAGCACAGCCCCGTTCCTGCTGGGAATCCAGGTCTAGCCGGAACAGCCGCAGACCTGAGGCATCGCGGTGCTGGGGGCAGGTCCTGCAGGAGCGAGCCAGGCAGGAGTTAGTCTCCCCGTCCAGCTTTTTATTTCCTGCTCTCGGGGCTATCGCTTCCTTTGCAAAGGGGTTATTTCCTTCCTGTAACATGGTATTGAATGGGAGGAGGAGGGTGTGTGAGAAAGTGGAAATCTGTGGTGATGACTGAGCCGCTGCGTTTTCACTTTAGTCACAGTCGCTGTCTGGGGCAGGTGACCTCGGCTGGACTGCCAGACCTGATCTGCCGGCTGAGACCCGCGCTCCCCAGAAGTCGGAGAGCGCGCGTGTGTGTTGCTGTGTTTGGTGTGCGTTGCAGAGCACCACAGGAACGGCTGCTCGCGGTGATTTTGGGTCTCGGCGAAGGCAGCAGCAGGTATCGGAGTAATCGGCAGTCTGGTGGCCCGCAGCGCAGCCCCGTTCCTGCTGGGAATCCAGGTCTAGCCGGAACAGCCGCAGACCTGAGGCATCGCGGTGCTGGGGGCAGGTCCTGCAGGAGCGAGCCAGGCAGGAGTTAGTCTCCCGTTCCAGCGTTTTATTGCCTGCTCTCGGGGCTATCGCTTCCTTTGCAAAGGGGTTATTTCCTTCCTGTAACATGGTATTGAATGGGAGGAGGAGGGTGTGTGAGAAAGTGGAAATCTGTGGTGATGACTGAGCCGCTGCGTTTTCACTTTAGTCACAGTCGCTGTCTGGGGCAGGTGACCTCGGCTGGACTGCCAGACCTGATCTGCCGGCTGAGACCCGGGCTCCCCAGAAGTCGGAGAGCGCGCGTGTGTGTGTTTTAGCGGATTTCAAGTTTAATTGGCCTACGTGAGAGTTTGAGCTGGTTTTTGTGTCTGGAGGATTGCTGGTTTAGGTTGTGATCCCTTAACAAAACAGTTCTTGTGGCGGTGTGTGTGAGGCTCGGTGCCGCTGGCCGCTGCGGTACGAAGGCTTTGCTGGAAGCGGAGCGGGCTTGCTGCGCCGGCCGAGGGAGAGCTGGAATTTGGAAATGCTTTTAATTGGGTGGGGAGCAGGTGGCTTTCCATTGCCTAGAAATGAACAATGAATTGTTGATTCCGGTATAGATTGGGGTAAGGTTTTGTTGCTGTCTGTTCCAAGAAAGTGGGAGGAATGAGGGGCAGAAGGGGTGGAACTGGTTGAACTGGAATTCCCGGGTCATGCCTGGCCCTGGGTTATGAACAGCGAGGTCCTGCTCATTTCAAAACCTGTGACTGGCGAATCCCGGCGCGTTGGGATCTGTGGGTGCTTCAGGTTTTTGCTCCTAAATGTATCGGAGGAATTTAATAGTAGTTTTGTAGCAGAGATCTCAAGTCTTTGTAAAAATGTGAGTAAACAAGTCCTGTTCTGTCATGATATGAGATACTCTCCCAGTACCTAGCACAGATACTCAGGACTTGGTGATCTGACTGGCCCAAACAGTGTGGAAAAATAAGGATGGAACCTTTCCTTTGAGTTTGCTGTGGGAAAAGGAGTGTAGGAGTGGGCAGGATCTGATGATTGGTGTCAGGTCTTTCAAGCCCAGCTGTGGTGCTGGGAAGCCTGACTTGATGCCTTCCTAACCCAGCCTTATCCCTCCTCTGTGACACCAAACCGCGCTCTCCGGTGTGAGACCCCCGTTTTGGGCTGCTGCCGAAAACCGCTGTCGCTGCCGAAGAAGGGACCCTGCGTGCTCGCTCCCTCCCCTGACACTCCAGCAGCTCTGTGGGCTGTGTGACAAACAGATTGAGGAACTGAACTGGGTTAAAACCAGCTGTTTCTGCGCCAGGCTGGTTTTCACTGGGGTCAGCTGCTCGATGCCACAGGCAGAGCTGCTCCGTGCGCTGCCAAGCGCCTGCGGAACCGCGGCTTGCGTTGCTTTGGGAGCTGGTCTGGGGCTTGAGGGCAGTCACTATGGTCTGTGTTTGGTGGCTGTGCCTGCGTGCCCTCAGCTGGGGCTTTGCCACTGAGTCGCTCCCTCCAGGAAGCTCTTGGGTTGAGTTGTTTCTCCGGTTTCATTTTCAGTTCAAACTAACACGAAAGAGCCGTGACGCTGGAGGCATGGACGAGCTACGCTGGACTGCAGGGTTAGGATGGTTTGTTACCGGGGGGCTTTTCCTCAGGCCTGTTGGTTTTTGTGGGAAGCCTGTGCTTTCCGTGGGCTCACACAGGTGAATGCTTTTTCCTGCCAAAAAGCTGATTTTATCCCAAATGCGCTACCATGTTATTTTTTGCAAGACATCAGGGGAATTGGGGTGCTTTGGTTCTTTGTGGTGCCCTCTTTGCTGTGAATACAGGTGTGAGACACAGAGACCACACTGTTTGGTAAAAGCTGCTCCAGGCATGGCTCTGCAGCGAGATAGTTAATACCCAGCCCTAACCCAAGACTGAGAGGAAGTCTTAGTGATGGGTGGCAGCTGAAGAAATCGGTCACTGCATTCTTTTTGGCTGCTGAAACTGAGTGGAGGAAGGAAAGTGCTGCGGGTGAGCGGTCTGAGCTAGTCCCCGCTGCGGAGCGGTGGTAGCTCGGTCCGTGGGCTGCCTGCCCCGGAGCTCCCTGACCTGTCTGGAGGGCCAGGAGAGGCTGTGGAGAGGTGCAGTTACAGGTTCCGGCAATTAAATTTACAGTGAAGCAAATGACTTGAGAGGTGGCAGAGCTCCTGCGGCTCTCTGCGTGTTCGCTCCTCGCTGTTGGGGTGTGAGAGTGCAAACCTGCGGGCTTAAGGCCGGGTGAAAGCTGCTGCAGGTTGGCGTTTGGTCGGGTACGGGCGTCTTGCAGCTCGCTGTGTTCTGGGGTAGCTGTTTATTGCTGCTGTGTATTAAACCCTGGGGTTTGTGGGTACCTCTCTGTGGATTGAAGTGTTTCTCTGATGAAGTCGTTTAGGAAATCTCCGCGTATAGGCAAAGCCCAAAGCTGGCTGACAAATACCCTCTGTGGCCTTGAAGTGAATGACATCACAGAATCCCAGCCTGGCAGGGGCTGGCAGGGCCCTCTGTGGGTCACCCAGCCCAACCCCCTGCCCAAGCAGGGTCACCCAGAGCAGGCTGCACAGCACCGTGGCCAGGCGGGGCTGGAATATCTCCAGAGAAGGAGACTCCACAGCCCCTCTGGGCAGCCTGGGCCAGGGCTCCATCACCCTCAGAGGGAAGAAGTTCTTCCTCATGTTAGACGGGAAAAGATACCTGTGGATTCTGAAGATTGCTCTAAGCGTCGTTCATTTACAGAGTGAAGCTGGGCCAGACTGGGTCAAACTTCAGCTCCTTTAAATGTCAAAATAGCCTTTCCTCAGCCTGCTTTTTATTGCAGAGCCGAGTTTCCCTTTAATAAACCTGTCACCGTAGGTCAGTGTGATCTGCACAATCGCTTCCTTTGGCCATCCTACTACGAGGTGTCCTTTTGGAACACCTTGGCCTGGCGTTGGGAAGTGCGAAGTGATGGTGTGCGGGGCGTTTACGTGCAGCCATGCAATCCCCGCATGCAGGGACCGAGCTCCTTGTCTTGCATGGCAGAGGTATGCAGCGAGTCTGGATGGGAGCCCGCACGCGGAGTCACGGCGTACGAGCTGGAGATGGCTGTCAGCAGCGGCAGAGCCACCGGTGGCTTTGGCCCCTTAGAAGGACATGTCGCGCTGGCGTGGGGATGGGGAGGGCGTTCGGCTGGGTGGCTTTCTGTGGACACATCTAGCAGGGTTCAGCGCCGAACATGAGTGGGTACGTGTGGTGCTAATGACATCTCCTTGGAAGCATGGGCCATGCTGAAAAGTCTGTCGTCTTAGAATGAAACATTTCACTACCTGCTACCTTCTATGAGGACTGAACCAAGGTGAGTTTCACATGACTGATGTCAGCTTTCATTTAAAATGAGTAAATTTTCCAGCTGTAGGTAAGGATACGATCCTAACGTGATTTCAGCATATTTTTACATTTCCAGAAATGCTGTCAGCTTGTGCTCGTGGCTGCCTGGTACGTGTGCAGGCATCTAACTCCTGGGGCTTACTCGGAGCTACCTTTGAAGTCTTAAAAACGTAGCTTTTTGTTTGTCTCTAGTTTATATGGCTCAGGATGGATTTAGGTCCTGCTAAATAACGTTAACGGTTTTTCTTAATATGCCTTTTCCATATTATATTTTTTAAGTGATCGCATGCTTCTTCAGTTTCACTCTTTTTCATCTGTTTTCTTGCTCTGATATAATCAAGTCCATTCCCAGAAACCTTCTCATTTAAAATTTGCTGGGAACACTCGTGTAGGTGGAGGGAATGGGGGTGCGTTTGTAACCGTTCCTGGTGCTGGCACCTCTCAAAAGGTCTTGTTTGTTGAGCAAACCAGCGGTTTCTGGCGTGGTGATAGCGGTGCTGGGGGATGTGGGGGGGTCATGGCGTGTGCTAACGAACCTGCTCTGATGTCCAAGGACACAGCGGTTGAATGGAACAGAAAGGCTGAATCTGGCGAGCAAGAGACGTCACCAGAAAGTCATAGCCTACAGTTCAGGCTGCTCGTTTTAAAGGGGTTTTTATTTTTCCCTTATTGAATTTTAGTTCTCTTCTGAAGCTCCTAACAGACTCTTTCTGATATTTGGCTTCTAATCCCCTTGCGAGGTGGATACAATTCTCACTTGGCTCTTAGGTGGATTTATTCAAGGCAGTGCAGAGGAAAGCGCTCTGAGAAACCGCCCGGCTGTGCAGCTTCCCGTGGCGGCAGGGCTGAGAGCTGCTGGACGTGCCCCGAGCGCTCCCGGCAGAGGCCATCTCGTGTTGGGGATCCTCCACCTGGGAACCGGGAGGTCACCGTGCCGGGGACGCAGACCGGAGAGCCAGCACTGCGGAGCTTACAGTTAATACACGCTGTCTGAAGGCATCTCCTCAGCTGGGCAGCTTCTGCACCTTGGAAGTGTGTTTGAGATGCTTGGTGCTTTGTCCTTCCACATCCTGTCTGTTCACCGATCTGCCGGGCTGCCGGTGGAACTGATTCCTCTCGTTTAATTTCGCAGGGGTGGTGGGAAGGGAAGGGACGCCTTGGGTTCTGTTGACTTTCTTGGGCCGGACCAGCTCGCCCGCCTGCAGGGTGTGATGCGAGATGTGCGTGTTCAGTTGGGTGGTTTTCTGGCTGTTGTTACGGTGGAAGGTCCTTTGGTGGCTGGAAAGAAGCCGTGATGGTTTGCTGAACTCTTAATGCAGCGAGATGTGTTGGCTGGAAACTGTCATCTCTAAACTGAGAGTTTAACTCTTAAAAGCGTAGCAAAGTGCTTTTTGTTTATCTCTAGTTTATATGGCTCAGGATGGATTTAGGTCCTGCTAAATAATATTTAATGTTTTAGGAGATTACCACTGCCTTTATAAAGACTATCCTTCCTGAGGTTTTGGGGAGTATATCACTTCAAAAACCCCACCAGGCCTGAAAGCAGGATGGCCCTGTGTGAGCTGGCGATGGCACTGATCGTTGGGAAAGGCCCAGCTTTCGCTTGGGGTGCGAATCGGCTCGGGGCGAGCTGGGTCGGACTGCGGGGGTAAGTGGGATCCGCGTGCACACCGTGTTGCTGCTTCATAAGCTTTGTGCGCAGCAATGAGAACTACAAATGAATTTTTTTTTTTTCCTAAAGGAAATGTTTTCATTCAGAAACTTTATGGGCTTGTTTTCACGGTGGGATGCCTCGCTGCCTGCACTTGGGTTATAAAGAGTTTGCGAGATCCGAGGTGGGAATTAATGTCTCTGTTTTCCTAGTTATGGCTGGGGCACGTTTTCATTAAAAGCTGGAGCTGTGGAACACAAGAAGAATAAATTGCCTGGGAAGGGTTTCTTTAAGGAAATTCGATATCTTAATCAGAAATAATTGGAAATTATTGTAGTGAGACTGTGAAGGATAAAAATAAGGCTACAACTGAATTACAAACTCTACCGGAACTGCTGACAACTGTTCGGCAAAATCTGAATCCAAAGATGAAATGGAAGGCTCCTGTAGATGCAGCGACGTGATTCCAGAGCGTCCGCTCAGAAAGATTTAATTTTAAATAACTGAGCTTCGCCCAGTGAGGGAGTGTTGACTCTGCTCTGTAAGTCGATAGACACCGACGCAGCACAGGTTTCCCGCACCTCGCGGTTTTTCGGGCGGGAGCACCGCGTTGCCTTGCGGTATGGAATTTGTTGAGGGGCCTGTTTTACGTACGCCAGTGCGCGCCGGTGAAAGCGGGGGACGGGGGCTTAATCAGATTGCACCTACCCTGCGGTCCGGTTACCCGGCGAAGCAGTCGGGCACGCGGCGGGGAACCGACGTCCGAGGCGCCTTGCGCAAGAGCCGCATGGCAGCACCGAAAATTCAGCTGCTGCCTCCACTGCTGCGGGCTTTATCAGCGCTCAGGTGAGCTTGCCGACCGATTCGCTTCAGTGCTTGGAAAGTGGCTGAGCTCATTCTTGTTGCCTCTTGAAAAGAGGCAGAGAAACGCTTCGCAGCCTGGCTTTGCAGCGGCTGAGACAGAGTGGCCTCATTTCGCTGAGGAAATGGTGGTTGCAAATGAAATCGTCTATCGAGTCATAATTACGGGGGCATTACCGCAGCATTGCTGTGCGTACTCGGCTACTTTGTTTTCACTGAAAGTTTGACGAAAATGGAAACCACAAAACTAAGGCAGAGGAGGTTTGTGTTTTACTCCAGAAGCCAGAGGTAAATGAGTAACCCTGTTATTAGGTGCCTTTTGGGTCCGTGATATGGTGCAATGCAGACGCAGATTATACATAGCCCAGATGGTGTGTGCAACCCGCAGTCCTCAGCTGCACGCCTTAATGGCAGGTCGAGGATGGAGGGGTTTGTTGCTGATGCATCCAAACAAGCTCATTCTTATGCTTTGTGGCAGACGACTGTAAGCAAAGGACTGAGTTCACGTCTGCAGCAGCATTTGTCAGGTTAAAACGGATTTTGTTGATTAGACGCGGTTTTTCTTGGGAGATGCTGGTGGGTTGTGAAAGCGGCTCTCGCTGCGTCAGAAGCTGTGGGCTTCCTCGGAACCAGTGAAGCCCTTTTGGGGAATCAGCGCTGTGTGCAGTGCTGAGACCCAAGGAATGGGGTGGTTGTCTCTGATCAGTCTTCGTGGCAGAGCTGTGAGATTCTGCCTTTGGTCTCTGTACAGATTCAGAAAGGCTGGAAAATAATTGCTAAAACTGGGGTGATGGGGAATGTAACTTCATGTGTCCAGTCGAGTGCAAGCTGGCCTGGCAGGTGCGTTCATTCCCATGGTGAAGTTGCTGTGGTGAGTCTGCTTGCCCTGCTTTGCAGTATTGGATCTCCGCTTCAGCCAAGCTGTCCGTGCTTTCGGGCTGCTGCGGTTTCTTCACCCCGGCTCAGTAATCCTCTCATTTCTAATTGTGTCTGCAGTCCTGTACGGACAGAGGTTTTATGAGTAAACTGAAGCTCCCTGCGAGGTGTGGTACAAGAACAAACTGTTGTATGAGCAGGTATGTACAGATCACAAAGGGGTTTTGGTTTCTATCGTACTGGGTTGCGCAGAAAGGTGCGATGGAAGTGTGCCAGTTCCAGAGCTGAAAGAAGCGTGGTGCTGCTGGGGCTGGGATTTTGCAGAAGCTGCAAGCTGGCCTTGAGTTGCTTTTGGAGGAGAGACCTTCTACAGCCTAGTGTCTGCCATGTTTTTTCCCTTAAAGCTGGGCTTAGTGGTTTCGTGGCAATGCAACAAGCTGCAAAAGATCTGGGTGAAAATGAAGCCTTTCGTCAGCGGCCTGAGTTTGGGGTGGTTTAGGACAGTCAAGCTGACTTTTGGGTTTGAATCTTAGATGCTCAACGTTTAATATGCTGTGTTGGTTTATAGTCTTTAGGGAAAAAAAAGGCATCTCAAGACATTTTTCTTAATATTCAGAGGTCTGAGGAGTAGGGCCCATGCTCCTGAATGCTTTCCCTTTATATTAGTGTAACCCTTTCCGAAGGGTGAATTGGACTCCAGGCATCTCCCGATCTCCTCCGTGCTCCCTAGTGCTGCACTAATGGATTTATACAGACCTTGCTGTGGTGTGCAGGCTGGGCTGTGGTCGAGCTTTGCGGAGGCTCAGCTGGTGTGTTTGTAGCTAGCTAGGGAAGCGCTGGTGCTGTGGTGGCTCGAGCAGCACAAACGTTATTGCTAATGTGGGACTTGGGTAGCGAAGAATTCGGTTTGTCATCTCGTGCTTTCAGAAAGAGGGAGGAATAGAAGGAAAGTACAGCTCAGATGTTGGGCAAACAAGCTCTGCACTTCAAATATTCATTGTTTTTTGCTTGCATTGTGCTGAAGCAGGTGCTGGTGGAGCTGGTTCAGGCCCACTGTGCAAAAATGAGTTGGGTGCTGGGATAACTGGGATCCTCTGTGGAAACTACTCTGTAAATGGGTTGGTTCTTTTCCTTCTCTCCTTTTGATGTGCCCAGACTTTTCTGGGTGATAGAAAAATGTGTGAATTGCATTCTTCAGTAGAAGAATTTATTAACACTCACATTTTGAGGCTTTCTATGTGTTGATAGATTAAGTAGTGTGTTTTGGTCTTGTGGATATCTAGAGCATCTTTAACATCCTGGTTTTAATTATATCAAGCTTGATCTTCTGGCTTTTTTAAAATTTCAGCCCTGGGTTGCTCTTAGATCTCATCTCTGGTCTCTGCAAACGGGCTGCTTTGTTCATTTTGTGCATCATCATCTTCCTCTGTTGAAAAGTTCTCTGCAGTAGAGCTGTCTGGCAGCTGTGGTGGTGCTGGGGAGCTCTGAGCGTCGCGGTTCAAGCGTTAGGTGTTGAGCCTTCTTGCTGAGCCAAGCTGCAAGCTTGTCTTTTTGTGAAGCTTTTCCAAGCTGAGACTCGCACTGCTAAACGTTGGGCAGACAGCTGATGAGATGGGGTTTGGAGAGGATGGGGCACTAAATCCCAGCTGCACACAGACGTGTGGTAACCTGACGGTGATGAGTACATCTGTCAAGCCTGCTAGGAAGAAACTTCCACATCGACTCAGCAGTAGAGGTAAATCTAAAGTTTGGCAGTCTAGCTGTCAGTCAGGAATCCAGAGGGCAAATAGCTTTTTGTTCTTGGTGACTTGGGGCGTCCATCTTTCAGGAGGTTGACTGAGGAACAGCCATGCCTTGCTCCCTCTCTTCAGATGCTCTTACTCCTGCGTCAGCTTCCACGATAATAAGAACAAGGGCGTCTGTCCTCTGCACGAATCGGTTGCTCTGCTTTAATTTCACCCTCTGCTTTTATCAGGAAGATAATTTTGGCAGAGGCAAGCCCTTCAGCTGCTTCAAGGACAGTGAGTGGGGAAGCTGGTTTGCTGTATTCATACTGCGGGTTTTTTTTCCCCTGCGTGCATCCACACACTCCAGAGTGGTTGATCAGCTGCCAAAAAGTCTGGAGGCGAATTATAAGTGTTTACTGTACTGATAGCTGAACAGAAATAGCATTTGTCACTGGGAGCTGGCCTAGAAGTCGTGCTCATTGATCTGTGTCATGCTTTCCTATAGGCTGCTGCCTTTTTGTTGAAGGTTTGGTAAATATGGCTCATTCAGTGATCTGGAACACCTGGGAGAGGCTATAGTGGCTTTGTGAGACTTTGTGTCATAGCCTCATGGACTGGTTTCAGCTGGAAAGGGCCTTTAGAGGCCATCCAGCCCAACCCCCCTGCAGGGAGCAGGCACATCTTCAGCTGGATCAGGTTGCCGAGAGCCCCGTCCAACCTGACCCTGAATGTTTCCAGGGATGGGGCATCAACCACCTCTCTGGGCAACCTGTGTCAGGGTTTCACCACCCTCAGCGTGAAGAATTTCTGCCTTATATCCAGTCTGAATCTCCCCTCCCTTACATTAAAGCCATTAGTCCTTGTCCTGTAACAACAGGCCTTGTTAAAAAGATTTTCCCCATCTTTCCCATAGGCCCCCTTCAGATACTGGAAGGCTAAAATAAGATCTTCCCAAAGCCTGCTCTTCTCCAGGCTGAACAGCCCCAACTCTCTCAGCCTTTCCTCATTGGAGAGATGCTCCATCCCTCTCATAATTTTTTGTGGCCCTCCTCTGGACCCACTCCAACAGGTCCACGTCCTTCTTGTGCTGAGGGCTCCAGAGCTGGACGCAGTACTCCAGGTGAGGTCTTGCCTGAGCAGAGTAGAGCGGCAGAATAACCTCCTGCACACTGCTTTTGATACAACCCTGACCCTTCTGCAGGACCTTGCACTTGGCTTCTTGAACCTCATGAGGTTCACTCGGGCCCACTTCTGCGGTTTGCCCAGGTCCCTCTGGATGGCATCCCGTCCTTCTGGCACGTTGACCACACCACTCGGCTTGGTGTTATCTGCAAACTTGCTGAGGGTGCACTCAATCCTGCTGTCTAGGTCATTGATGAAGATATTAAACTGTATTGGTCCCAGTACAGACACCTGAGGGACACCACTTGTCACGGATCTCCATCTGGACATCAAGCCCTTGACCACTACCCTCTGGATGCAGCATCGAACCAATTCCTCATCCACCGAACAGCCCAGCCACCAAATCCCTAAGTCTCCAATTTAGAGAGAAGGATGTGGGGAACCGTGCCAAAGGCCTTACAGCAGTCCAGACGGATGACATCCGTAGCTCTTCCCTTGTCCGCTGGTGCAGTCCCTCCATCACAGAGGGCTGGTCAGGTAGGACTTGCCCTTGGTGAAGCCATGCTGGCTGTCTCCAGTCACCTCCCGGTCCTGCAGGGGCCTCAGGAGAGCTTCTAGGAGGATCTGTTCCATGATCACAGGGGTGAGAGTGATGGGTTGGTAGTTGCCAGGATCCTCCTTTCTGCCCTTTTTAAATATGGGTGTGATGTTTCCCTTTTTTCAGTCATCGTTTTTCCAGTTGTCATTTTTTGTATGATCTGTTTCAAGTAGAAATATGAAAAAAATGTCCTGTTTGCCTTGTTAGCTGAGTAAGGTGTCCAGGTGCTACTGTGGGAGCCCTACGTAAGGTACCAGTTTCTAGGAAATGGACCATCACAAGTTTTCATTTGGTTCCGAACTGCTTTATAACAGAAATTATCCCCTCTTGATGAGGGGGAAACTGAGGCATGGATTGACAAAAAGGGCCTTGCCCAGGGCCGGGTGTGCTGGTGAGTAGCAGAGCTGCGAGCGCAGGTGGGTCTGGAGCGGTTCGATGTCCGCGCAGCGTGTCGGTGAGTATTTTTAAGGTTTACTTCGCGCAAGTGAGGAGAGAACCCACTCGCTTACCCCATCTCGTAGCCACAGAGGATGCAGCTCCCTGCCCTTTCCAGTTCCTCTCTGGTAAAGTTATATTACTGTGCCACCCACAGGCAGCTGCCACGCTGCCGGAAAATGTTTGCTGTTTGCCTGGGGAGCCAGTTATCAAATGCGAAATCGGTGGCGAAGAGCCGCTGGTTTCATCTGCTCTAATATCCACTGCATTTGGCTTTCTCAAACCTAGTTGTTCTGGTGTTCTGTTTAAATTGCATTTCTAGCTGCTATACTATTTTTTGATTTTTCTACTGCTTCCCGTTCTTCCACAAGACCCTTTCCTCGTGCTAAAGAGCTGCTGCGTTCCCGCTCGAGGCGACTGCTTTCCAACGAGTGAAGAAGCGCAAGCCGCGTTCCAGGCTGCAGCGCTGGGACCCCTGCGCAGAGGGCGAAACTGCAGGGCTGGGAACTGTCGGTGCACCCCGGTCACTGACACGTTGCCAGATTGGGCTGCGAGGACAACTTGGCTTAATCTGTGTCAGTTTATTGAGGGGGAATATTCTGATTTACCCCCAGGATGCGCAGGAGCTGACCTCTCCGTCGCTCTGGGCGCAATTAGTGCAGAACAAACTGGGTCAGCAGAGGCTGCCGGGAGGAATTTGAAACCCGTTTGTAGCAAATGATGTTCAAGCCGTGGTAGCTGAAGGACATGAGCAAACCGAGGTTTTTAGGTGGAGTGGATTTGTTATTAGATGAAGTCAGAAAAACAGGCCGGCTTTTTGGCTCCTGCTGACCCGAAGAAGGGCTTGTGTACCTCTCGCTTCCCCTCTGTACTGCTCGGCCCAGCAAGAGGTTAACTCTGCCTTCACACCTTGTCTTGTAATTCATAGCAGCGCGTTTGGCGTGGTTGATCTGTTTAGGTTTTTTTAAGAATTTCCCTTGCGATATTTAAACTCTCGTCTGTGCACCCGTGCTATAAGCTGCCTCTTGGGAGAGCTGTTCTGTGCTGTTGAGTTATTCTGCTTTGTAGAACAGAATTTTAATATTGTTTACCATGCTCTTAATCTTACAGCTGGCAGATAAATTGAGTTACTTTAGCCTTTCCCCTAGGGACTTCTTGGAGCTTCATGGACAGCATACCCATAGCGTTAGGTGGAGTTATCCCAGCTTTGCAAAAATCCGCTCGTCTGTCTTCCTGGAATGAGTAACTGGTTGGTGAGAGTAAAATTTTTTTTTTTTTTCAAATTGCATTTATAAAAAGGGGTGGGCAACCAGATCTGGTGGGGGCATGGGGGAGGTTTTTACTGGGAGTCCAGCCTGTCAGAAACCTCTGCAGCTGGGTTCGATGCGCTGGGCAGAGTTCTTCTGATGGCTTGGTTCAGCCAGTTGAGTCAAGGCTGGCGAGCCGGGGGTGCCGACTCGGAACCTCCCCGGATAACCGGCGTGACGAAGAGCAGGCTGCTCGGTGCCTGGCCTCGGTCTCCCAGCTAGCCTCATTCTTCTTGTCCACTACTTCTTGTTAATATTGTGAGCTCGTGCTCAAGCGTTAGCCCCTCGCTGGGCTCATCGGTCATCTGGTCCAGCGGGGACCAGCTCTGGGTTTGGCCTTCTGGGTGCTGCTGCAGTAATAGAATTTTTAACACGGTGTAAAGCAAAGGACTGGACTAGCATAAAGAATTATAATATTATATTTGTTTATTGGCTGGTACTGGCACCATATTTGGGCAAAAGAAAAAATCTCCTAGGAGGTGGTCAAGTGACTTTGGTTTCCTTTCGTGGGTGTGTCACTGGAGGGCTTGGTAATGGTCTGTGCTAATGCAGGACCTTGTTCCTCAGGCTGCTGGATGTTTGTTAACACTTCCCTCTCCCTCCAACTGACGGATGTAGTGCGAGGCTGTTAGAAGAACATCCCTTCTCTCCCCCATGTACTTTTTTTTCCAAGACAGCCTCCAGTTTTGTCTCTCATTACAGTGAGAGCCCTGTAGTAGCTGCCCAGCTGCTGTCGTGTCCCTCTCCGGAATGGTGATTTAGAGCTGAGCCAGCATGGAAACTGGCTTTCCGTGCCCAAGGCAAGCCTGCTAGCAGACGCTGCAGAGAAGTCATGTGCCACTTCTGTTTGGAAGAGTTGTCAGTTTGCTAGTTTAGTTGGGAAAAACAACCAGTGTTGGCTGCATTTTTTGTTGGATTTTTGGAAACACCCCTTAGTCTTTTGAAGGAAGCTGCGCGGTGTTGCTGGAGGAGATGAACAGTCCTGAACTGGAAGCGCCTGTAAGGACAGAGGGGTGCAGCTAACGAGCTTCGCTGGGGAGGAAGCTGAAAGCGTGATGTTGAAGAGCTCGGGGTGAGGGTTGCTGAAAATGAGACCACGAGAAAGTGGTAAGCTGGTAATGAGTAAAGCTCATAGCTGAACTTCGTGGGTTGCCCAAGGCTGGAAAAAAACAGTGGCACCTTCGTGTGCAGCTTCGTGGTGACTTGGTGTTTGGAGCTGGGGCTGTCAAGGTCCTGTCCTTCCCAGCCCACCGCCCGGTGCTCTGGAGGTGCGGAGCTGGCGTCGGGGTCAGCTTTGTGGCTGCTCGCTGGGCGGCCGCATCAGTGCTGGCCAAGGCAGGGTGGGAAGGCGTGGGAGGAGGCCAGAGCCCACGCTGCTGGGGGTCCGCACGCTCGGGGTGCAGCCGAACTGAGCACACGGGCAGGCGGAATTCCCCGCTTCGGCAGAGAGCGTGTAAGACCGAAGAAACGGGGTAGAAAACAGTGTAGAAAATCCTACAGCACGGCTGCGGAGCAGTCATTTTCTATTGTGTGTGGATTAGCTGCCTAGCTGGAAAAAAGCCATCACCTTGCTGCTGAGAGTTCAGAGACGGGTCAATGGAACAAGAATATATTCTTAGATTGGTACGAAGAGCTGCGAAAAAAAACCCGAGCAAAGTGTTTGAACTACGAAGCCAGACAAAGGCCGTGCTTCTGCTCGCTGCAGTGAGTCCCCGAGCAGTGACAGGAGCTGTGCCGTGCCGGTAACCCGTCGAGGCAGAGGAATTTCACACAGCTGCCAGGCCCAGGGAATGTCTGAGCACTTTGAGGACGTCAATATTCAGAGGAGCTGTGGCATGTGTCATGCTGAAGGAAATGCAAAATCCATGTTTTCTCAGGCTTATGTACCTGGGAAATGTCTGACAGCAGAGGATGAGAGCAATTTTCTGTTCTGCGGGGCAGGTTATCTCGAACTGTCCGTTGCAGGATACGGCTTCCCAATTATCCGGTCCTAGTTAGCGCTGGCAGCAGGATCTGCACTACTTAATCCATTGCTTCGGTGGGAAAGTGCCTGTTTCTTAGCGCAGGCAGAGACGTGCGCTCCTGCTTTGGCAGCCTCACGGCAATGCTGGGAGTCCTGACTTTGTTCCCTTTTGCTCCAACCTGGCATAGCTTTTTTTTTTTCTTCTACTCCAATGTGCCTTTTATGCCTGTTCTATTAATCAGATGACTGTGGATTTAGTGTTTTGCTGGGAAGGATCCCTCCCCGTGCAGGCTTGAGGTGCTTCCAGCCGTGCTGTTGGCAATGACAGATGCCCTTGGTGCGTACAGCGAGTGTCCGGCCGCGACGGGCTGCCAGGATTAGTATTCCCGGCACAAATGTGCCCCTTGGAATATGCAGAGCTCAGCGCAGCCTGTGCAGGAATGTTGTCATATATTGGCCCTCACTGGTGCTCCCCCCACTAAGAAGGTGTTGCTGTCATCTATGCTGAGGTTCAAGCAGGTTTTGAGGTGTCTGCTTTTATTTCTCTTCCGCTTTCCCTTCCCAGATGGGCTTACTGAAAGGGCAAGGCAGGGAGACCTCAGCCACAAGCACCCTGTACGGTAGAGTTGCTGCTAACTGGGAGTCTGGGTTTGTGTGAAGATGCTGACTTGATAAATGACATTTGTAGAAATCATTGTGGCTCTGGTGCCTTCAGTGGGGAGCATTCATTCTAGTTTTTGCAAGTGGTGTCCTTGATGCAGCCTTTGGAACAGGCGTTATCACGTGGATGTACCAGGTCCTGCATCCAGACGCAGGGGAAGGTTAGCTGCGTTTGAACAGCGTGAATGGGTTGAGCTGGAGGGATTCTGAGGGTGTTTCCCAAGTAACCTCGTGGTAATCTGCCTCCGAAAATGAAGACCGTCTGATGTTCTGGGGCAGTTGACTTGCTGCGCAGCAGTCGGCACAGGTAGTGCTTCTCTTTGAGCTGTTTGAATGCTGTGATTGCCAGCGATGTTTTGAGAGTTTAACGGCTTTGTCTGGGTGCTCTCCCCGTCTATGAATATCGCTGCGATGATATTCTAGCTGCAGCAGAGAGAAGTAGCCTGGAGCGTGGCTGTCTGATCAAAAGAAGTGTTTCGCCCACACAGTTCAGCAAAGCAAAGCTCAAAAGCCCCGCTGGCGATGGCTTGTTCAGGCGCGCTTCCAGTGACGGCGTGGCAGGGTTGTCTCCGCCGCAGCCCCGTGATGCTCCGACGGCGTCGCGCGAGCGGAGCGTGAGCTGCAGAGTCAGCAGGTTATCAGATGGCGATGAGCCGCCTGGTCTGAGGTGGCTTTACAGCCAGCAAGCTGGGCTTTGCTGCTGGGGCGGAAGGTGATGGGCTCTCCTGGCCTTAGTGGTGAAGAATGGGCTGCGCAGAAAGCTGGCTTTGGCTCGCAGCGCTGGAAACAGCTGATTTTGTAGCTCTTTCCCACTCACCCCATGCTGTGCCTGTTGACATTTCCTATTGTGGTTGTCTTCGTTTGAACTGCAGGCTCGCTAGGACAGCAGCTCTGTTTCTAAAATGCTGAGCGTGTTTTTTACTGTGCTGTGTGATATATCAGAATCAAGATGTCTCCTGATTTCCCCAAACTCAGTTCCTCCTGCACCTCGTTTCAGAGCTTTCTCCAGAGAAAAGCTGGGTCTGCTGCTAAAATCCGAGTTCCTCCTTTTTGTCTCTTTTCCCCAGTACGTTCTGAACTGTCTTGATG